CTTTATTTTGTTCCACGCTCTTACCATCTCTGATCCTTTTTCTGTAAGAATACGCGTCATTACGTGCCAATACGTCGAAGAGCCTAACCACAAGCTGGAGGACCACCCCTTGTTGGTAGTCCACGCGCACCTTTTCGACGCCTGGCGTCCTGCCCACTCGACGACGGATATTTGCGGTCGCAAAGAACGCCAGAGCGATCAGTCGCCGCGCTTCCAAGAAGTCACATCCGCCCCCACCCCGACCCTCACACGCAGGGGACGCTGTAGAGCGCGGCGGGCAGTCTAGCTGACAGGCGCGGAGGAGGGTCCATCTCGCGCCCTGCATCCCCAGCCTCCAGTCGCCACAGCGAGCCAGCCGCGGTCTGCCGTGAGTCACGTCGTGGTTGTTGTTGTTGTAGTTGTTGGGGAGGGCTGGGTCTGTAGCATGCATGCGCGTTCTTTTGTGTGTTCTGAAACCTCCAGGAAAAAGCATCTCGGAAGAAAATGACAAAGATGGAAGGATATTATTAAATTGATGTTGGGTAGACGTATTGCGAAAGTGTGAATTGTCTTGGGACAGGATCCAGTTGCGAGTTTGTGGTTCCGTTCCGACAGAGAGAAGTCGCTCGCCGAGTAAAATTGTGCAATTCTGTGAATATCCGCCGTTTCGGCCGCTCACTTTCCGCGTATCACAAAACTGCGTCACACTTGGGACTAAACACGTCGGTACTCTCAGCTGCTCTGTGACTCGATGACTTGGTCAGACTTCGCCGACTGTGGGCCCGTACGTCCTCATCGTTTCACGCGTTCCTTGCCGAGTTCTGATCAAATTTACGGAGGTCTGCACCAAAAATGTAGAAATGTTTAGCTCGATTGAGATTTGCCTCTTAAATACTGCACGTAACTTTTGCCACAGTCAAATATACTGACTGCATGGTAATCACTCGCTCGCCTTTCACTGGTGCCGAGGTCAAGAATGCACCTCCAGTCCCCACGTGGTGTTTACTTACGTCCTTCTTAACTGGCATGCTCATTGGAGCCGTAGATTGTTGCGTCTTCCATCTTCGTCTTGGTCTTGCAAGTGGGCGTCTTCCAGGTTAGGTTTCTCCTCACGTATTCTTCACGTTACAGCGCAACATGGACTGTCATGGCCGCCTGCAGTGAGATGTCGAGCCACGTGCTGCTGGTGGTGG